CTTTTGAAAAATATCTATTATGGTATCCTGTTGAAAACTTAACCAAAACAGTCACTGTAGAAAATTCAAGTACTAATAGCAGTGAAAATAAACTAAACCAAGAAAGTAATAGTGAGGATGAACTTGCTAATGATGAAATATTTATAATGGTAAACTCAAGTAAACAAATAAATATGGAAAATTTATGAGTAGACTATATGTATTATGGTGAGCAATTAAAAAATATATGTCTATATGACTATATAGCAACAATTCATAAAATAAAAATTAATAGTAATGAATTAGACAAGCTAAATAGACAAAAAAATCATAAAGGACATATGACGAGAGTAGATCAATTCATATTTTTAGGTAGAGAAAAAAAGTATAATAAAACTTGTGATCATAATATGATACATCCACAACACGCAACACTTATACAAGTCCATTGGACTTGTGAAAATGAAAGAATACCTGTATTGTGTGGAAAAAGTATACAATATAGAAATGATTTAAAAAATGTGGAAAGATATGAACTCAGTATCCTTCTGTTGTTTAAATCATGGACTACTGTAAGTGATCTGATAACTATATACAACTCATAGCATGATGCTTGTAATGCTTTATTATAAAGCTCAGACTTATCTGCAGGGTTATGATTTGTAATTGATAACATTGAACTATTACATCGATGCATGGAAGAAACTATTTTAGATTATCAATTATGCCAAATGGCCTACAAAAACCCAGAAATTGCCAAAATTCAATAAATAAAAAGATCTGTGTCAGGTTATGACAATACTGGTAATGCAGAAATACTAGATAACCAAGATAATTTTGGTACTGATAACTTAGTTTTGTTAAATTCATATGAAATCATGCGTTCTGAACTACATAATACAAAATTTGTTGATGATGCTATGCTTCATTTATATTTAAAAGACAAGTTTAATGATAAGAAAGAAGGACAACTGAACTTTCAAAGAAAATTTGATACTATGAATTATAATGATGAAGAACATATATGACCTTCTTGTGAGAATGATAGTAACTTAATTAAGACATAGCAAAAAACAATAACACTGAGAAAAAAAATGGAACAAATAGATACAAATATAAGTTCTGGAGAAAACTATTACTCAAAACCTTGTACTTATATGTCTAATAAAAAAACCCCAACTATCTTGCAATCCAAAATTTTAGCTAATCTAAACAATGAACAAAAAAAAGCTTTTATGCTTGTCTGTAATCATCGTGAATGAACCTACCCTGATAATTCTAATAAACCACCTCAATTATTAATGTATTTAGGTAGTGTCAGAGGCACAGAAAAATCAAAAGTTATCGAGGCTATTAAAGAATACTTCGATCTAATAGATCAAAATCATTCTCTTGCTATTTGTGCGCTAACTGGTGTTGCCACTTTAAATATCAGCAGTTGTACTCTTCATTCTCTGTGTGGATTTGGGTTTGATGATGATGCTAACGATTATAAATATAAATTTTCTCAAGAAATATCAAAAAAAACACTTCAGGAACGTTAGACAAATATAGAGTATCTCATTATAGATGAAGTTTTAATGATGGGACAAA